CTCTCACACACACACACACACACACACACACACACACACACACACACACACACACACACACACACACACACACACACACACACACACACACACACACACACACACACACACACACACACACACACACACACACACACACACACACACACACACACACACACACACACAGACGTGGGTTCATGTAAACACACACAGACATGTATGCAAACACACACACACACACGTAATGTACGCACGTGTGCACACACAATTATATATGAGGCCTGGCATGTGAATTTTTATCAATGACTATAATGATATTGATATCAATAGTAATAATATTTAGATTCCTGATATTTTATAGCAAATAGTAACGAGAAAAAGAAAAAAAAACATAAAAAAGGACTAACAGTGTTCTTTTGTTTTCTAGAGACAAAATGACCTCTTGTATTTTTATGCTGCTTTTTATTTGCTAAGAATTGAATTCTTTTGCAACTGCCAACATGAACTTTTTATGACAAATGTGAACTATGACAGTATTTGCAAAAACAAAAAAGGGAGATCATTTTAAAAACGGTGAAAAGAAAAAGCCCTTTTTTTCACACCAATGTTTCAATTCAACGGATGTTATTTTTCTATTTGATTTTTCTAAATTTATTTTTTTGTGCTTGTTAATCCCTTGTTGATCTGAAGCATCTTTGTAACTGTGGGTATTCAACAGAAAAAAAGAAATTTGAATAAGCTATACATAAGGCCATAGGTCATTGGATTAAACTACACCTGTTGAACAGGTCGTCACTCATTCGTCGTGTGATGAAGGGACGGGGCTAAACGCTGGAGCCAAATGATTCGCTGTATTAAGTGCCACGTGCGGCCCACTCCTCTATAGCAATGAAACGCGTTGTTCTTCCTCCACCATGGTGGCTTCAGTCTTACAGACGATCTGCAGCCAGTGTTACCTCACAGCGGGGGGCCGGACCGCGTCCATTCAGTCCTCCAACCCACTTCAGATTCAACCACGACCACTTCTGCATCAACGTAGCGCTGCACGACCGCGTCATGGACGTATAAAGAGAACATATTAACAATGCTGAAGTTAGATAACGTCTACTATAGGTTGAGAAAACGATATTGGCTGAGAGTTGGCTGCATCCTGAGGTCCCTCCCCCTCTCACTTCCTGTCGTTTAGAGACATCTTCACTGGGGGGTGAGCGGACTGTAGCTAGCCTTCGTTAGCCTTCGTTAGCAGCAATTTACTCACATTGCAGTCCTGAAGCTCCGTTAGCCTCCATTAGCCTCCGTTAGCCTTTGTTAGCCTCCGTTAGCCTTCGTTGGCCTCCGTTAGCCTTTGTTAGCCTCCGTTAGCTGCTGTAGTTACTCACATTGCAGTCAGTGCAAGCCATGATGGAAACGTTACAGCTGTTTGCAGCAAGAAGAATACTTAATATACGCTGACAGTGAAAGTGTCAAAGAACATATACTCAAATACTTATATACAAAGCGTGGCAAACATCAAACTATGAGCTAGTTTATTATTCTTAAATCCAGGATGTGCTCATCGCTGCATGATTGGGACCTTCTTTCATATCAAAATCACTATTTCGGTCTGCTTTGAAGAGCTCTATGATGCGACTGTCTAATGAATATTTCGTGATGAACGCGCGGCGGTGACGCTGTCGTCGTGCAGAAGTAGTCGTGGTTGAATCTGAAGTGGTTTGGAAGAACGACAGACGCGTCCGGACCCTCGATTACAAAGTCAGATTCTTCTGTTTGTCTCTTTTTTATATGTCGCTCTAAGCTCCGCCCACCTTTAGATGCACACCATCTTATTTATCATGTAAATACTTGATTTATTTATTCACCTATTTTTGTGTATTTATTGAAGCTTATTTAATGACCATGTATTTATTATTTATTATTTAAAAGATGAGCATCCATTGACCTTGTAAGATGCTGCTGATCTTCAAAGAAAATGTTTATATGCATGAAAACTGTAGAGAGTCCGCGGGACTTAGTTTTTTAAAAGAGGAACAATGTACAGTGTTAGGACTTCCAACAAAATGAATGCAGGATCTTTTGTTTTTCATGGCAATAATTTAACCTGACATGTATAACAATCACAGCTGTCCTGTTTCCAGTCGACTTAGGGCAATAAAAAGAAACCATTCAACGACTAAACAACTCTCCATCTCGCTGTTTCACCCCAAGTCTTCCTCGTGACGGGAGTTCTTCTGGCCCTTTTTTATTTAAATCTCAGGCAATGAATAATTCTGAGAAATCTGCATGAGAACGTCCCGATACCTGTTTTATAATAATCAGTGTAATCTAGCAACACTAATGGTGCAAGTAGGGGCTGCACAATAATCGGAATTGCATCTAAATCGAGTTATATTTTAATATTTAAATCGCACGGAGATGGTGGAGCTGCAGAGATATCCTGCCCTCCAAAATCATCACATGATATATTTTTTAAATGCAAAAAATGATCAATCCCTCCGTTATCGCAATATCTTTTTATATTTGATTTACTTCTTTGTTTGAAATCGTGCAGCCCTCGTGCAAAAGCAATAATGTTAGCGGGGATAATGTCTTCATAAATCTGCTACCGGTGTTAACTGGACTGCTGTTTTATATGTTCTGAATTATCTCACTGGTTTTGAAAAGCAAGCAGGTGTGAAAGATACACTACGATAAGTCGAATTAAGATCAGACGATTAAAAAGTCCTAAATGATTCCCAAGGTGTCGGGGAAGAGGCTGAGGCGTCTTCCCCGGCACTCGCGGGAATTATCTTGTCGTTTTTTTCGATTATTTCGATATAACGTCTCGCTGTAATGCTCGTCCAGTGCTGTTTGATATATTGTATTATTAGTTTACCGGTTTGACAAAAAGACAGCAACACAATACATCGACTTAAGATCACAGAAGACTCTAAAGTCCTAGATGATCCCCAAGGTGTGGAATGAGAGGCTAAATGGGAATGATCTTGAAGTGATGCACTTCCAGTCCTCCTCATCCCGTCAGAGCAGACGCAGCGATGAAGAGGAGGAGTGGGGACGAAGAGGGGCTTGGCGGAGGGTGTTGGAGTGTGGGAGGATAACAGGTGTTTGCAGACAGACTGCAGATAGGGAGCGTAATTGAGTCGGTGAGCGACCTCCAAAGGGGGGGAGGTCAAGCACCAGCAGGCAAATGCACCGTCAGCGATTAGCATATTTCTAAATCGCGCTAACGCCGAGCTCTCGCCCATTAGAGACGAAACAAAAGTGAGGAGGAGGAGAAAAGAGTCTGAGTGCTTCGGCTGAATCGCCACCTGTCCTCCGCTCATTAACGAATCACTGCTTCCTGTGGGTTGATGTTCACATGTTGGCTGTTTGGATGCAGGACAGAGAGGCCTCAGAGCCGGGGGTTTAACGAGGCAGATGAAAGGGAGACTCTTCTGTAGGGAAACATTGTTCCTCTTTGTAAATATACGTGTAAATATATCACAGCAATAATATGACAATGCATGTAGACATTTAATTGCTCTTTTTTCTACTCATGTTGTCCTTTTTTTTATTTATTATTCAAAAGGGAAAAGACAAATACAGGTACACAGTGCAGTCTGGGTGTGAATCAGGGAGTGTGTTGGTTACATGATTCTGTTATAAGTCACAGAGTGTTTTCTCAAAGACCTGATCATGTTATGGTTTCTCTGTTCTGTCACTGATTATGGTTTGATGTGCCGGCTTGGCTGCGCAACGAAGAAGTGCCAAAAAGTATGATTTCCATGACAAAAGCCTTCGACATATGGTCGGCTGCTTGAAACGTTCCATATGGTCCTCAAAGCAAAAAAAACGATTTCGATTTTCCACTTTCTGTCTTTCTTCTCCTCTTCCTCTCTTCTCCTCTTCCTCTCTCTCTCTCTCTCGGTTGCAGCTGAGTGAGAAACTTAAGCCATGATCGCTGTTTTCATTTCTCCTGTTCTGCTACGACTCATAACGATGACAACAAATAGCAATGATAACGTTAATAAAAACAACAATAGCACAAGGAACCGTGAGAGACTGTGCCTTCTTTCACTTTCTCACACACACACACACACACACACACACACACACACACACACACACACACACACACACACACACACACACACACACACACACACACACACACACACACACACACACACACACACACAGGGTTCAAGGTAATACATCAGATTAAAACACCTATAGTCGACACTAAGAGTGTGTTTATAATAGAAATAACCCACTGATACAAAGAGTGAGTGCTTTAGGGTATCAGCCCCTAGTCAACATTAACACAGCGCGTAGTGATGAGCTGCCGTCAGCTGCAGCTCCTCCTCTGTCAATGTTTGATGGATTTAAGGAGCTTTCCTGTAGATTTGATCACTTTTAGATTCCTTTGTTTCAGGACAGAGGAGCCGCACGACACTCTGCTTCCCACGCAGAGGCACCTGTTCCTCCTCTGAGGCACTTTGATTTGATGCTGGGACCAGTTCCTCTGAGCGACTCCAAAAGTGAGACGGAGACACGGGACACAGTGAGACGGAGACACGGGACACAGTGAGACGGAGACACGGGACACAGTGAGACGGAGACACGGGACAAAGTGAGACCGAGACACGGGACACAGTGAGACGGAGACACGGGACAAAGTGAGACGGAGACACGGGACACAGTGAGACGGAGACACGGGACAAAGTGAGACGGAGACACGGGACAAAGTGAGACGGAGACACGGGACAAAGTGAGACGGAGACACGGGACAAAGTGAGACG